GTTTCTAAGGCTTCGTTTGGATAAACACGAAAAAAAAAAAAAAAAAAAAAAGGATAATTTTAATTATAAGAGAAAATGAAAGAAAAAAAATGATAGCAATAGCCTTAATTTATGTTTGGATAAATTATGAGATAAAAAAATAAAAAATAAAAAAAAGTTATAAGATGAGAGTCAAATGTGATAAGATGGTAGTTTTGAAATTATGAAAATACTATTTACTCACTATCATTTCCCTTCAAATCCTCTTATTTTAGGGAGAATAGCAAATTAGAGATTTGGAGGGATAGCTATTTATTTCTTTCTCTCCACTAAAAATTATCCAAATTCAATTTCCACTATCATTTCTTTTATTTTCTTTACAAATCCCTCAAAATCACTCCATCCAAACTAAGCCTAACAGTCTGTTATGAGTCTAAAAAGCCTGAAGTCCTCGATACGAGGGATCCCTTGAAATATAACCAAATGCGTAATTAAAAAATTATTCACTTTCAATTTCATATTCTAACATTAGCATTCGTCTAGTTATATGGTAATTACTTATGGGAGCACTATCCTCCATAAATAAAAATAATGATAATAATTTTTTTTTTTTTTTTTTTTTTTTTTAAAGTAGTCAAACACAAACTATTGTATTACTTTTTCATAGCTTCGTAGATGGATTCAAGCTTATTAAACATGGGTAGGAAAATTTTGACATGTACATTCATGTCAATAGGATATATCATACTGTCTTCTAATTATATATATATATGTATACATATAGACATCAACCAACCATATATCGAAAAGTGTCACATTGCTTTAGAAATGGAACTCTAGATGGAATTTAAGCTTTCTAGCTGCTTGACTTTGACTTGTTTTTCTTCTTTGTCGGCTTCTAAAATAGCAGATTTTTTGTTTTAGCAACTTAAAATATCAGATGTTTTGTTTTTAGCAATCTAAAATATCAGAATTTGTGGCGCTAGAAGCACCAAATGAAATATAGGGGGCTTGCCCAATATTTTATGGGTAAAATATTCATACAACGAAATACGATGGAGTGTATTTATTAGATTGTTGGAAATCATTAGTTGTCATCAGTTCTCTAATATTAGTAAATGTGTTAATTTTATGTTTGCTTTATTCAATTTTTATAATTTATATTTAAAAAAATTTAATTATTAAAAGAGTAATGACATAAACTTCTGATTAGTTAAGTGTCTCACAAGATAATTATGTGATAGGTTTCACACCCTCACGAGACATGCCAAATTTACCATTTCTCTTGTTAAAAATTGAGCATATAAATTATATATACTTGAGCTATATTTGACAACATAAAATTGGAGTTTTGGAATCGAATTAGTGGAATTGGAGAAAAAATAATTCAAAAAATTAAATCAAAATTTTCTTCAATTCCACCAATTTCATGTGGCCAAGCATAGCCTTACATTATTTTGTAATATCTTATATAAAATAAGATCACCAAAGAGTGTAATTTAGTAGTATCTCATTTCCTTTTAAAATAAAATTTTGAGGGTTCGAGTCTTCTCAGGAGCACCATGACCAATAGACCAGTGATCTAGCAGTACCAGTCCCCTACATCCCAAAAAAGAGTCAGTGGTTCAAGCCTTAGTGGAAGGAATGTATGTGTGAGAGTACCAATCAAGAACAAACAAATAAATAAATAGAAGAGAAAAAGAGTGTGTGTAATGCAAACCTTTTTCCTGATGCTATGTTTGGCGGTATCGAACCAGGCGCCTTAGACTTGGGACCGAAAGAAAATTAGTACAACATTTGAATTAAACTCTGGTAATTCGATATTTCGAAACATAACATCAACATAAATGGTAGTAATAAGAAAAAAACAAGTTGTCTGGGTTTGAAGTTTATGTTTAAGCCCACTCATACCAGCTATAAAATTTTATGAAGCCCATAGATGTCTTTGGGCTGAAGGACTAACCCGGAAAGAAATTTCGTCGAAGCCCACTCCTTACGCAGGCCACATAAAGTCCTCATGCCAAGCGAAGACATAAAACAAAAAACCTCCAGATAGCCTATGGGAGTTCTTTTTATGGTAAATAATAAGTTCATTTGGATTCAATCCATATTTGATCAGTCCAAATTTGACTCAATTCGTCTATTTGTCACCTCTAATACGAACAAAATTCGGATAGTTTAGCTGCGTGATTTTTCATGTCGAAGGCTAAGTTAAAGGAGCTAATAAATTATTTTCCGAGCTTCATTGTTGAATTTCCTAGAGGAAAGGACTGAGTTTAGGCCATTGATTCGAATACCATGAAAAATCACAAATTCTCAAAGGTAAGAAATTGCGATAATTTTAGCAATCTTAACTTTTTGGTTTCTCAATCACATATTGAACCATTTTTGTTATGACGGTGTTAATACAAAGTGGGGTCCCTTTTTGTCTCTTTCATTATGTAAAGTGACCCATGAAATTAGTCAATTCTTCATTTATATTTTGGCTAAATGTTTGGATTGAAAATGAAACTAAAGGGACAGGTCATAATGCATCCAAAATTGTGAAAATAATGTCCCATGTAAAGATAAAATAAAGTGGTTCACCAAATGGTTATAAAAAAGAAAAATGATAATTTGAAATCAAAAGGTATGGACAGAATGTTGCGAGACATAAACACATTATATGATTATGATTTGTTATATTAGTCGATACACGACGTATTAATCAGTTTGTAATTTTTTTTTTTTTAAGATTCAATATCGTTACACACTTTCATGAATCGACTGATTTACATCTATATTCATCCAATCAATCGATTTATATCAATATTCATCCAAATTTGCACAAAAACCGTAACTGATATAGTGCGATTGCAAACTATAAATAGAATCTACTATGGATCGTTTTATTGAATATTTTTAAAATTTAAAAGATGTATTGTTGCTCCTTAGAATATCCCATCAAAACCATGTTGTTTTAAAATTCAATTTCCATGCTTTCCGTTCCACTAACCATTATAATTTAATAACTGTGTTTTGAAAATGGATGTCATTTTCCACCACAAAATAAAATTCTCCCAATCCAACTACTATTATTACCATCAATTAAATTCTCCCAATCCACCTACTATTATATCATCAATTAATCTCCCAATCCATCTACTATTATACCATCAATTATTATAACATTCAGAAGCCATTTTTTGGCCCCCGTACTAACACCCTTTTGAGACCATTATTAATCTATAATTGTTTAAATAAATTATTAGTTCCAAAAACAAAATCATCAATTTTACAACCATGGAAAGAAAATCATCTGTGGGTCACATTTCTAGAAATTTAATAAGACTTTATCACCAGTCAAATTATAGAGCACAAATGTCAGAACTCAGAAGGCATTTTTGGGCAGTATTACTAAAACTCCCTTTTGGGACCGCGGTTCATCTTCAATTATTTAAATAAATAAATAAATGATATTTGTGACGATTTTCTAGTACCGATAAAAAAAAAATTGACATATTAATCGTGATGACAAGTCTCATGTGGCACATTAAAATGCAATATATATTTTAGACAAAATTACCTTTTCTTCTTGCTTTCCTTTACTATTTTTATTTTTTCTCTTTAAGTATATAAAGTCCCTGTGTGCATTAATTTACTTATATGTACATTTTTTTTTTTTTTAAATTCTTTCACTTTACAAAATACATTCTTCATTAATAGACTTTATTACCTAGAACTGAAAAAGAAGCGAAAATTTTGTCTCTCTCTCTTTATCTTCAACTGGTTTTCACCTCTGAAAAATTAAAAAATAAAAAAATAAAAACAGAAGAGAGAACATTCTATTATTCTAACCTTGGTTTGCATAAACTTTTTCGCTCCCTTAGTTCTCTTTTTCAACATCTAACAGAGATTTTTTTTTTTTTTTTTTTTTTTTTTTTTCTTTTTCAATTGAGATTTGAAAAACTTGGGATTCATGGGTTAACCGGGTCTCCACAACCCCTTTGAACAAAATATGAAAATAGAGAGAGCTTAAAGAAGGCATTGCCTCACATAGATGATTTTATGATTTCAGGCAAAAGAAAAATTTGACATGTTCTCTTGCAAGTGTCTTTACAATCGGAAGGAACCGAAGAAAGGTAATCGTAGGAAAAGCTTGGCCGTTCCGGCTAGATTCTCGTGTCCAAGACTCCACTAGTCACATGACACTTGTATAATAAGTTATAGTCGATATTAAATCGGTTTTTTAGAGCCGGGTGAAATAGCAATTCTCTTAAATAATATTTAGATATCCCTTGAGTAGATACATAAAATAATAATAATAAAATCTTAGACCAATAAATAATAATAATAATTTTAAAACCATAAGAACAATCAGCATTTGTGGAAAATAAAAACTTCACATGACGAGTTATATACCACAATCTAAGATATGTGACTCTTCGTTATCAAACATCAAAAAACCCGGACACATGTTGAACATGCCTAGAAATTTTGAATATTAATTTTCAGGTTATGGACAGAATGACACATTTAAAATAATTTTACAAGACAATAAGGTGATTTTATAATTATTTTTAAAAATAATAATTAAAGCAATTTAAAATATATTATGAATTTATAATAATAATATAAATTTTTAAAAAATAAAAATAACAAATGTCTAGCTTCAAACTTCATATTAGTAATTTTATTAAAGATTATATGAATAAATAAATTATAATTTATATAATAATATATTACATTATCATTTATTAGCAAATTTATACGGTGTTCCAATCCTACTTTTTGAGATTTTTCGTATCCTCTTGTTCACATCTTGTTGAACCTATGATAGTACTCATGCTTCTTAGCCCACAATAATAAAATGAATTTTTATTATTTTGCCAACCCAAAATATATATATATATATATTATAATTTACAAAGTCAAAATTGATTGCTTTAGTCCTTAGGAAAATCCAATCAATAATTTGAATGAGCTATTGAATGCAATGCAAATATAATAAATACCAACCAAAAAAAAAAAAAAAAAAGCACTAACATAAACACTGTGTTTATACCTCTTATCTGTATAGTATACAACTGTATAAAAAAATGTATATAAAAGAAAAAGAAGAATAAAAAAATAAAAATTACAATATCAACAACACTAATCCGAAGGCCAACAGTAATCTCTGGCCCCACAGTGGTCCCACAGAGTGGGCCCCACTATTACCAGTTTCTCCCTCCTGAGTTGAAGGAGCGGCCGAGCCATTGTAATTGGGGTTCGAACCATACAGGACCTGAATCCCCTGTATGTCGTCACCGGCGAGCTCGACCCTCCTCGTCCCCGACGCTATCGTCGGATACATGATCGCTTCCTCCACCGACGAGTGCCCTAACCCTAGCAAATGCCCGATCTCGTGAACCGCCACCGATTCAAGATCCACCGCCGACACCACCGACGACGCTGTCACGTCACCGTCGACCACCCAATTCTCGTCGCCGTCCAAATGAAACCTCCCGCTTGGCGGCGAAAACGCGTGCGCCAGGGTTCCGAGGACGCCGTCGAACGGCTCCCCGTCGCCGTGGTCGCCGCTGAAAAACCCTATCCTGATGTCGGCGTTGTTGAACGACGACGTCTCCGTGAACGTCATCGGTATAACCGCCGACCAGCGCTGGAAGGCGCGCGCGAACACGGCCTTGACGGTGTCCGTGAGCTGGTTCTCCGGCAGGAACCCGTACGTCAGATCGGTGTTGCTCGCCGGCCACCGCGGCGTGCCTGGGAAGAACGAGTAGTGAGCCACGGTATGGAGGTGCAGCGACCCCGCCGACGACGGCGCCTTGCCGGAATTCATAGAGCTGGTGCCGTTGACGATGTCGGCATTGCCGCATCTCGGGCGGAGGAGCTGATTGATCGTCGGTTCATCGAGCAAGCCGGTGGCGTTGAGGTTGAAGTTGAGCTGGTAAGTCTTGATGGCCGACTCGAGAGCGTCGTCGAAGTCATCGGTGAAGTTCGCCGACGACGAGTTGTTAATATAACCGAAGTACTGAAAATACTGTTTGAGTCTCTTTAAGCCCTCGACTTTCTCGCCTGAATGACAGCCGGCGAACTTGTGAAAAGGTTCCCACGCACTGGCCGTCGCATTTGGATTTTGCGACGGCGGAATAAAGGATGCGTTCGGGAAGAAATGAGGCAAACCCGAGATCGAATTCGCGAAAAGCAACACAGAAACTATGACTATCAATAAATGATAATTCATAATGAACTAAATTTTCTTTAATTTCAAATATCGACAAATGGAAAGATATCGGGATTGAGAGAGTAATGGATGTTTTTGATAGATTGTGAATGGCAAAAGTAATGAAGGTAATGAATTGTGAAGGATTGGCGATGTTGGCGCTAGTAGGTGTATTGTATTGATTTTATTGGTGTAGATGTCTTCGTCAAGCCATGACGCGTTGAAATTTTTGTTTTTCTGTTTGAATTATTTCGCCCGCCGGTTTTACGTAGACAATTCAACTAACTTTTTCTTTATTTGAATTTTTCTCCGGCTAGTGTTTGGTCCCCTTGAGGACTTCTTACAAACACTTCACAATTGACCTCTCCATACATATTACTCTGAAATATGGTAAATTTTCTCGATCTTACATTCAATAAATAATTGTGGTATATTTTTTTCTTTATTTGTCTGTATCGGAAAGGGAGTTTTAGAGGTAAGGTGAAAATCGTTTTTGATTAGGTAAACTTTTTTTAAAAAATTATATGTATTTATATATAATTTTATTTTAAGTGAATTTGGATTAAATTAGCTCTGACGTGAAGTTTACTGTTAACATTTTTTTTTTTTTTCGGAAGGTTACTGTTAACATTTGTTCGAGGTCAAACCATGCACTGGTTATTTGAATTGCGGTTGCGGCGACAGTGATTCATGGATTGGTTCTAGATGAATTCGTGGTTAAAACGGTCAAAAATGGGGGTTTTGTGTTTTTGGTTTCGGTAAAGAGGCGTGGAACATTTCCTACCATATATAACATTATACAGTTGAAATATGGTTTGGTTTGACAAACTATATTGTACAAAGAAGGAAGGATAGAAGTTTCAATCAAAACTCATTTTGGAGAAAATATATATATGTTTTGATCAACCTTCCATTTTCGTAGTCCTTCGAGAAGTTTTGAATAGTTTTGAATTCTTTCCTTATTGACCAGCAGTTCTCATTTAATTGAAAAGTCAAAGAAATCTTAAAAGGTCACAATAATCGTTTGGACTATGCTAACGTGCAGAAAACATCCTATATATTATTCGTAACACTTTCGCATCTTATTTGAGAAGGTGCGTTAAAAATACTCATTCTTCTAAAATTGTGAAGCAGCCTTTAATCAGAAATCTGATATAAAGTAATATTATAAGACTCATTTTATCCTGTAATATTATAAGACTCATTTTATTCTTTTACTCTTTCAAAAATATCCAAGGGGTGTGTATGTTAATAATCTCATAATATAAGGATATTATGTGAATATTAACTATATTTAATCAACTTTTAAGGATTTTCTCTCACCTTTCCGAAGAAAAAAAAATTATCTCTACATATTTCCGTTAATAGCCTATTATCAATCTTTTAAAAAAAAATTTGTTGTCACAATTGCCAGATTAATGTACAGTGTATTATATGGAATGAAAACTTTCTTTCCTTTTATAATTATAAAAAAGGAAAAAAAAAATATTCCCAGTTTAATTTTAATATAGTTATAAGTTTTTCATTAAATATATAATTAAAGAAACTTATTCATTATAAATAAACAATATACATTTAATTATTTAAACTTTAGAATTTGCAATAATTTTTCACAAATATATAAAAAAATATATTCCCAATTAAATTTTAATATAGTTATAAGTTTTTCATTAAATATATAATTAAAGAAACTTATTCATTATATATAAACAATATACATTTAATTATTTAAACTTTAGAATTTGCAATAATTTTTTTCCAATATACAAATAAATATATATATATATATATATATATATATATATATATATAATTCTTTATATAGCAACAAATGGATATTCAATCTTTATTGGAAAAAAAAGGGTGTTAAATCACCTAACGTCATCATACTATTCAAATCGTGATAAAATTATGTTTTCAATTAAATCTATCTCTTAAGATTAAAAGATTCAAAATAACAATAGTTTATAAAGTGCAAAAAACATCCCTATAATATGCTTACTCATATACTAAAGGACCAATTTGGTAATTTCATAAAATGATTTTTTTAAAAAAAATAATATGTAAAATGTGTACATAAGGACAATTTAGTCAAATTATAACTTAAATGTGTTAGGAGAGATCTATTTGCACCAAATAGAAACTTTATTATTATTTTCTGCACATAAGGGGATACGCACTTTAAGCATACTATAGAGGTGCTTTCTGCACTTGGACCTTTAGAATATCAGTATTTTCTATATGTACCATTTCTTTATTTCACATCTTTCTCTATCTAGAATCCAAAGCAACACAAGACATATAAATACAAATACGTATATCCCACCAGTGGCGGATCCAAGAGGGGGCTTTGGTGGGCTTGAGCCCCTTTTTAGAATAGGTATATTTAGCCCAATGTTTTAAGAAAGAAAAAATTAGTAGTAGTATTAGCCCCCAATTTTAACCCATCCAAACAAGCCCAATATCTAAACCACAATTTTAAAACAAAGGTCCAGCCAAGCCCAAGCCAAACAAGCCCTAAACAATCACTAAGCCAAAGCACAGAGAAATCCTAAATTCCTAATTTTGCATAAATCAGAGAGCTCACTCATTCTTTCCCTCTAAAGTCTAACCCTATTTCCTCTAAAAAATTTCAACTCTTTAATCTTTCGATCCCCAATTCCTTCCCCCCCCCCCCCCCCCCCCCCCCCAAAATTAATAAATCCTGGATTCACCCTTGTATGCCACACACATGAACAGTTACGGTGCTGCCAAAAGAGAGATCATCATCCACTTTATATGCATATTACATATACACGCATATGATGTATAGAGAGAAAGAAATAAATGATGTTTATCTCTAAATAACATTTGAACCGATGACAAAACCTTCAAAATTTTAACTTTTGATTTTCTTTTTGTTTGGCACAAAGTTTGCCCTCTAGGGGTACGCTTGTAATTTCTCCGTGCTCGGGTGTTCTAAGAAGCTTAAATTCGAATTTGCGACCAAAAGAGAATCCAAGCAAATATTCCTTATGATTTTACAACTGTTGTGGCCGTGAGTATGTGCACTCATGGTGAATCTGATGTAGGTGATTGAGAAAAGTGGCAATGACCCTCTCTTAGGTTCCAATCACTTTAACCCTAGTGACAGAGCATTGTTAAGGCCGAGGTGTTTTATATGAGAATTGTGGTCAGAAACACAAGCAACGAACTTTAAGAAAGACATAACATTTTATTAATTAACTTAGGCAAGTACAATGAGGATTAGTTACAAGTTATTGATTAGCAGAGTGCAAGAGGACCTAGTAACATTCTCTCTATATTAGTATGTGCAAGAGGACCTAGTAACATTCTCTCTATAATACTATGTGTGTCTACTTTTTAACTCTCTCTCTAGGCAGCAGTAACAATTTTAACTCTCTCTCTTTAGGTAGCAGTAACGATCACACTGTCATGCAATGCTCTCAAGTCTAATTCCAAAAAGTCCGAGGGATGGGATGTGAATTACTAATAGGCCACAACAAAGCCAAGTGACTTTCCTTTACCACTTTTAAAAATTACGATTTAGAAGTTACCTTGGTCATTTTTGTAGTAACAGTAATCATTTTATTGTAATGAAATAGAAATTTATAGTTACATTTTGTTGTAATCGTAATTTTTTTTACTTGAAATGTAACAGAAACATAATTAACTTATGATGTGTTGCAAATGACATTTTAATTTTTAATTTTGATTTTTGTGATTATTAAGTTAAATTATTTTATGTAAAATTCAATTTGGTGCAATAAACCTGTAAACACGGGAGATATTTTTTTGGCTTTACTAATTCACGTGCCTTTCACAAATGCAGTTAAAAAGTCATATGGTCTACAATTACCTAAGCCAAATACATTTCCAAGAAAGAAAAAAAAAAAATTCAAATCTAAAAATGTCACTATTTTGCATAATAACATTGTTCATCTTCATTAAAGACATGTTTTAATTCACTAAATCAATCTCAATATTTTAAAGTGCATCATAAACAGAATATCATCAATACAAGTGTTTTAAAAAATTAGAATAAATTATTTTGAAAATTTTACCAAGAGCTACAATTTATGGTTTTGAAATATGAATTATATTTATTTTTTATTATTGTTATTTATTTATTTTTCCTTTGACCGGACCAACCGGAGTAAAAATATTTTTGTCTTTAGTGGAGAGGAATATAAGCTTTCCAGTAAATAGTGGGATATATCGAGAATATAAACTGATTTGGGATAAGGCGTTTATTTCCGTACTCTGCATACAAAAAGAAATAGAGAAAGAGAAATGCAGTACGGAATTACAGCTACTACTACTGACGTCGTTCCCATTAAAGGCAACTCCATCTTCTGCATAAGGGGTGTGATACATATTTTAAGCATATTATAGGGGTGCTTTCTGCACTTGACCCTTTAGACTATCATATTTTCTATATGTACTTTATTTCACATCTTTCTTTGTCTAGAATCCAAAGCAACACAAGACATTTAAATACAAATACATATATGCCACACACACGAATAGTTACGGCACTACCAAAAGAGAGATCATCATCCACTCTATATGCATATTACATATACATGCATATGATATATAGAGAGAAAGAAAGAAATGATGTTTATCTTTGAATAGCGTTTGAACCGAAGATAAAACGTTCAAAATTTTAACATTTGATTTTTCTTTTTGTTTGGCACTAAATTTGCCCTCTAGGGGTACGTTTGTAATTTCTTCGTGCTCGGGTGTGCTAAAAAGCTTAAATCCGTATTTGCGACCAAAGGAGAATCCAAGCAAATATTCCTAATGATTTTAGAACTATTGTGGCTGTGAGTATGTGCACTCATGGTGAATCTGATGTAGTCGATTAAGAAAAGTGGGAATAACACTCTCTTAGGTTCCAATCACTTCAACCCTAGTGAAAAAGCATTGTTAAGGCTGATGACGACGGCCGTTCCAATACGCCAAACTGAATGTAGTGAATGTGTGATTCAAGAAAAGCCTTTTATGTCAAATTTAAATTTATAAAAACCACTACCAACACTACTACTAACGTAGCAAGAGTGAGTAGGGATCGTCCCAAGGGATTATACGTGTTGGAATTTCAACTTCGACTCTAACGTACCAAATGATTCCAAAAGAGAATTGGGTTGGTTGATTACTTCTAGAAAAAAATTAATTAAAATGCAATAAGATAAAGAGTAAGTAAGAAGGAAAGGTCTTGGGGTGTAGAGATCACCACCAAACAATACTATTCCAAATCATAATCAAGTGACTAATGAGGG